CTCAGTAAGGTCCACAGGGTTGCCCCCACTCCCGGCCTGGGGTGGCCAGGCAAAGCTGAGCAATCTGGAAGCATTCTTTCAGGGAAGAGAGGCGGAGGAGGCCTTCTGCGTGCCAGAGGCCTTGGCTCCTTGGATCCTTACTACTACCTTCTAAATGGTGAGGATTGGCTACGCTCAGGGCCAGCCTCTCTCCTTGCTCCACCTTAGGGGCTCAGCTACCTTCTCTACCTGGCCTCTGTCACCAATCAGAGAAACATGAGAAACTCATTCTCACCGGGTGCGAGAAACCGATGGCAGTGTCCAGGAGCGCCCCTTCCAAAAGGCTTTGCAGCTGGACAGGCCCTGACCCAAGGCCAGGCTGCTTAAGGAATGCATCCTGAATCGAAAGGCCACTGTTCCTGAGTTTGAGCTGGGGGTGTGTTGAGTGCTTTGACCTCCCTGCCTGTGAAATGGCTTTGCAAGGGCAGTGTAATGATCCGTTCTACAGAGGAGGAGGCTGAGGCTCAGCGTAGTCAGGGGTTCCCACCCGTCCCCGCCCGCTTCAGGCTCGACCCTGCCCACAGGACCCTAGGTCTCTGAAATCCGGACCCAGGGCAGGACCTCTTCAGTCTTCCTTTGCTTTGTCATCAGTTGCTCACTGAACATTTGCTACACTGGTGGCTTGGAGTGAATGACACATGCAAGGCCCTGCTTGCCTGGCATCTGTGCTCCATGGGAAAAGACAGACAATCAGCAATCAGGAGGCAGGGCCAACCTCTCCGAGGGGGCAACATGTAAACTGAGGTCTGGTGGGCAAGGAGGAGCCAGCTCCACCCAGAACTTTCAGGCTGAGGGAAGAGCACCTGCAAAGGCCTTTCTTGGGGCAGGAAAAACACACATGTCTGAGCAAGAAAAGGCCTCTGTGGCTGCCGAAGGTGAACAAGGGGCGAGAAGGAAGAGGTGAGGTTGGAGAGATGTGGACCAGGGAGAGCCTACAGGACCTTGAAGGTGATAGAGGAAGTGAAGCTGTCCTCTCCCTGCCCGCAAGGCCCCACCCACCCCCACTATTCTTACGGAGGTGGCAGGTGAGGAGGAGTGAGGTAGTCCCAGAACAATTCAAGATGGAATTATAGTTAAGAGTATAGTTAAGAGTTAACTTCAATTGAGCACTTGCTATGCACCAAGTGCTGCTCTCAGCCGTGTGCCTGAATGGTACTCTTCCATTTGCGACAGTGAGGCACAGAGAGGTTAAGTAAGTTTCCTGAAGCCACACAGTTCAGAAGTATTTGAGGCAGGAATCAGACCCAAATGGTCCGGCTCCAGAGTCCACACCCTACCACTGCACCGCCAACAGGGCACGCACAGGAGAATCCCCGGCCACCAGGCAGTGGCTGTTGAGATGGCAGAGACTGGAGCTGAGGGCTTATCTCTGGAAGCGGCCCTCTTGGGGCAGCTCTCTATCTGCAATCAATCGGAATCCTGGGAGTGGGCAAAATGCAAGCAGAACGGGAAACTAGGACTCTTGAGAGGACTGGAGAGATGCGCGAGAGTTAGTGAAGAGCCTCCACCCACCACTTCTACCCTAGAGCGCACCGAGACCAAGGCACAAAGCGCAGCCCACAGGTATGTGGGCTCGGAAAGAGACAGCTCTTGGCCAGCCAGTGCTGGGGCACTTGCCATGTTTGTTATTCGAGGTCTGACTGTGAAACACAATGACAGCTATTTCATGTTAACAACGTTCCAAATGTATGTGACTTGGCTCTGAAAGGTTTTGTTAACCCTCCTACCAGCACCAACAACAAATGAGCCAGCAAATATTTATTGAGTTACTAACCTGAACAAAGCTTTCTACTCTCCTGCATTTGGTATTGGCAAAGCACACAGATAACTGGGCTTTGTGAGAGCTCAATGGAAGCCTTACCATCTCCCTGGTCTTACGCATACCAGGCTTATACCAGCACGCATTTCAGTAAGTAGAAAGAGGGAATGGTCCTGTCCTAGTAGTTAGTGAATGTGTAGCCAAAGAGGGTATCTGGCCAAGGACTCCCATGCTGGTGTTTTAGCTCCTCTGAACTTCCAGTTTAAATGATAATACTCCAAACCGGTGGGTAATGGCTTAAAGGCATTTGCTCTGCATATGCTCAATTGAATTGAATTAAGTTTTTAACTTGGGTTGGTCAGCAGGTTCCTGGAACGGGAAAGAGTAGAATTTAAAGCCAGCCCAGTTATGGAGAAGGCTTCAGCATAGACTTCAGAGCCCCTCCTCAACCACACAGCCTTGTCCCTACACCCCACATAATTCCACTCCAGACCCAACACAACCTGAGTGGGAGCAGAAGGGTGGAGGCCACACCATGCCACACTGCTCCAGGCGGGCACTCGACATTGCCCCTCACACAAAACCCTCATATCCACTCTGTGAGGTAATCTTATTGATAGATCTCTGTTTCCAAGAGAAAAGTAACGAAGGTTTAGGCAAGAGGAGTCACTTGCCCAGGACACATGGCTGGTCAGCGTCTGAGGGGAGATTCTACCCAGGCCTGCCTCCCCGGCCCACAAAGCTGTCCCCAGGACCATGCTTTCCTCAAGAAGTGGCTGCATTGAAACCCTGCTCCTAAAGAACACTAACGTACCACTCATACCCTTAAAGCCTTAACCACATAATAGCATGTTCTTTATATGGAGTTTATTTCTTTGTAGGGCTCATAAACACCGTGGAAACGAGCTAATTACTTCTCACAACATTTATTTCTCCACTAAGAGAAGGGGCAAGGTCGCACTGCTATTCCCCCCACACTGACGGGAGCTGGAGGTAGAGTGAGGTGGCTATGGCTCCTCTCAGGTCAGCGGGAGAAGGAAAACTAGAACATAATCGCTCCCACCTCCCGGATGGCGCTGTCGAAGGCTGCCAGCCAGCAATGTAGCTAACCATCCAGCTCGCAAGTAGGCACGAGAGAGAACATGTTTGCAAGGTTCCTGCAGTGTTTGTGACACACCATTCACCCTGAGGTTATGGGGGGGGGGACCCTCTCTGGGAAGTGTCAGTACATGAACAGAAAACCAAATAAAAACTTTCGAAGCCCTGACCTGCTTGCCTCACTTCTCACCATTGTCACTTGCCTGGTACCTCAGTCGCTCCAGGCTGGGTGATGAGTGGGGTAAGCATTTTCCCCTTGGGATAATTGTAGTTTTAAAAGTGCCTAAATCTTTATTCCCTCTTACTACCTCCTGCCTTTGTCATAAACAAATGCTATAACTTCCCACTCTTATGTTCTCATAAATCCTCCTCTAATACTTTGAGATTTTTCCCCCCTCAACAATGTCATGTTTAGCCATGAAAAATATACATTTGACTCTAATCCAGTCGGTCTCTCCACAGCCAAACTAGTCATTTTTAAAAAAGCTTCATATAATCTTTTAATCAATCTCCCTTGGAAAGCCTTTCCAAATTTGTTTCTAAAATCCTCTAGGTCAGCTTCTCCTAAAGATATCTTAGCCACATACAGAGTTCCCACCAACAATTCTGCAACACAATGGATTTTGTATACACAGACTACTATTTCCACTAAATTGAGAGTGATGTGGACACTGTACTAGCCTCCAGGATTAGGGATACACCAGGCAGTGGTTTTGTACCCTACAGTTTTATTATTATTTTTCAGTTTTAGAAAATTATGAAAACTACCACTTGTTGCAGGTTTGCCATTGTGCATTTACATGCATTGGCCTCCAGAAACCCCGCCAGGTAGGTCCTTGACAGTGTTTCCATTTGACATATAAGGAAAGGAGGCCTGGAGCAGGGAAGCAATTGACTGATCAAGTAAGAAAGGGACTGAAGTCTAGTAAGGGTGGCAGTGAATTTGAGTTTTGGCGTCAAACGCCATCGCCCTGCCCGCCTCCCCGCCCCCCCCGCCCCGCCCCTTTCCAGGCCTGTGCAGGAACCCAGTTTCTTGATCCTTTTCTGCTCCCAGCGAAATTCTAATTGCCTCAGCTTGACAACTCTCAGGTAGCTGGGTGTTGCAGTCACGCCCGGACCGGGTGAACCCCGGCGCCATCCCGCCATTTCCGACTCCCCAGCCTTTGGCAGGGTACAGGACAAACAAGCCAAAGTCCCTGCCCTCGGGGAGTTCAGGCAGGCAGAGTCTTGTATTGTTTGGGTTCAAAGAAAAGTATAATTCGTTCTGTGAAGAGGGAGGAATTTCTGGGCGCTGTTTAGGAGCAGCTTCCTGTAATGTCTCCGTATTTGTGTACCCGTCACATTTTACATTTTTACGTTTCCTGAGGAACTCCCAGGGAGCCTTTATATTTTAAGAGAGAAGGTGGTTCTCCCACAAAATGTGTAATCGGTACCTTGTGTAAAGCAGTTTGGTTTTCTGTTTTTGTTTTGTTTTTTTGTCCCTAGGAAAAGGATGGGAAGGTCCTAGAGAGCAACGGCATTTCAGAGCTGTTTAGGACTTCAGAAACTGTGTAGTCCAATCCCTTAATTTTATAAACGAGGAAATAAGCTCAAGTGAAGCAACTGGACTTTCCCAAGGTCACAGGTAGTAAGTGGGAGGACAAAAGCGCGTACCCCGGTCATGGCTTGGGGCTGGACCCTTTCTCTCCCCTCCACTCCCCACCCCCCGGCCTCAGGAACGCTTCCCTCCACGCTAGTGTTTATCTGGCCTCCACGCCCGCACCACAAACCCGGGATCAGTGAGGAACATGACACCCCCTTCAGCGGCGGCCAAGGCTGCTCCTGTTTGGGCCAACCCTACGGGAAGAGCAGGTCGCCGCCCGCCGCCCTGCCCTCAGCCAACCTCTAGGGAGGAGGGGTGCAGGCTCGACTCCGCGTCCTGGCCCCACGACCCAGGACAGAGTCCCGGGTACAAAGAGGCCCGCCCCCACCCGTCCTCCCCTCCCCGCCGCAGGCCCGCACGTGCAAAGCCTCGTGCAACCAACCCGGGCCCCGCCCCCGCCCGTCATTGGCTGCTCCTTGCCTTCCTCCTCTTCTCCCCTCCCCGCGCAAATAGACTCGGCTGGGGCTCCATGTGACCTGCGGGGGGTGGGCCATGCATCCCGAACGGGCTCTCTGATAGGCTCTCCCGGAGGCTCCCAGCCCACCTCGGTTCAGTGGCCTGTCCCGACGGTGGTGAGATTGGGATGAGAGGGAAAGGAGAGCGGTCACGGTGGTCTAGGATGAGAGCGGGGGTTATGAAGAGGAAGGCGAAGGTGAAACCGCTGGTAGCAGGGAAGGAGTTACCGCCGAAGAGGGTCTATGACACAGACTCCAGCAGGCACCAATCAGGTGACTCGGGCGGACGGGGAGGGACCTCCGGCGTTGCTACTCACCTGGCCCCGCACGTGTCTCACTTATCGCGGCAGCCTAACCAATCACAGCCCGGAAAGCTGCTCCTGCCCTCCTCACAGGGTGGGCCAATCCAAGGCCGCGGTCTGGGAAAGCTGGCCTGGCCTCATGAATAATTAATATCTCAGAGCAAGTCCGCAGGCGGGGTAGGGATGGAGGGAGGCGGGGGAGCTGTTGGGCGCTTGCGCAGTAGCTGCCAGTGTCGGCAGCTGCGGCGGGTCGCGAGGCTCCGGCCCTTCTGGGGGGAGGGCGGGGGAGGTGAGGCGCGAGAGCAGAGCGCGGGGCACGATGTCCGACACGGGCGGTGGAAAGAAGCCGCCTGTGGAGCCGCAGGCGGGGCCAGGCCCGGGGCCCGGGCGCGCTGCTGGGGAAAGGGGTCTGCCGGGGTCTTTCCCACTGGTCCTGAAGAAGCTGATGGAGAACCCCCCGCGGGAGGCGCGCCTCGGTGAGGAGCAGGGGGTCCGCGCGCGCCGGGGGGGCGGGGTTTGCAGGGGCGGGGCCTTCTGAGGGCGGGGCCGGGAAGGTCGGAGGTCTGGGTGAAGTGGTCCCAAGGAGGGGGATGGGACCGGGGATGACGAAGGGCCTGGTGGGCGAGGCAAGAAGATTGCGGGAAGGTCAGGGGCGAGTTAAGAGAGGTTGGGTCAGATGGGCGCCGGCAGGCAAGGGTCAGGAGGGAGAGGATGGGGTGGGGTCGCGGTGAGGGGGTTCCCTGGAGCCGCCCGAGGGCGTGCGAGGTGTAGGGGTTACTGAAGAGTCTGAAGGTGGTCGTAGCAGCCACTGAAATGACGCTCCAGGGAGCCTTCTCCCGGGACAGCGTCATCGGAATCACTTGGGATGCTTGTTTAGAATACCGGTTCCTGGGCCCCACCCTTCACCCACCGAATCTGCGGCTCCTGGGACAGGAGTCTGCGTTTTAAAGAGCACCCCACCTCCGTGATTCCGTAGTCCAGTAAAGTTTGAGAAGCGCTGATTTACATGGCAGATTGTCTTCGCTTTTGGCCTTGCCCCCTCCTGGGAAGAGGATCTTGTCTTCATCCTCACTACTAGGTACACACTGGAGATTTTCTGGAAGTGTGTCTCAGGGTTGCTGCTGAGGTGGGGGAGGGGTGTCAGAAGAGATGCAAGGCACCTTCTGAGGTGGACAGTGGGGCAAGGCAGGTAGAGGGGTGAAGATCAAAACCATTCACCTGCTTTTGGGAGGGCTGACCCTAGACTTTGAGGGCCACAGTGACAGATCTGGGCTTCATCTTGTTTCCTAGGCCACAAAGGTCCCTAGGGCCTATGTGGAAAGCAGGTTTGGCCTTGTTTTTTTGGCGTGGCAACATGAGGTTCAGAGAGCAGTAGAGTGCCACCTATTGTGGTTTTAGGTGCACAGAGGTATGCTTCCAGTCTGAGACCTTTGAATTTCCAAGAATCATCAGTGTGGTTTGGAGGTTTGGGACGGAATAGGCCTTCTGTAAATTACCTGTCTTGGGGAATCAGCTTGCTTTATTTTAAATGCCATCTTTTTCTTTCCTGGGTGTATTTTGAGGCTTCCATTCCTATGGCTTGTCACCGTTGGATTATAAATAGCTTCAGCATATCAGGTGAAGCCAGGCTTTCTCCTCCTGCTCCAGAACCTCATGTGCATAGACCCTTTTGTTTGTTTTTAAGGCAATGCTTTGTTCCAAATCTGGGGCTGAGACAAGCTGCTGGGACAGGTGTAGACATCTGTCAGGTTCTTGTTCTAGATTGCCAAATAAAAGCTATCCATGACAGTAATTCTTCTTTACATTAGCAGAGCGCTCACAAAGCACTTTGACAGAATCTTGTTTTACTTAGTCTTCCACAGCGGTCCTATTGAGGGTATTAGCCCCACTTTGCAGATGAAGAAAATTGAGGCTCAGAGAGGTGAGGATGCTCCCTCAAGGTCACATAACTAGGCCTAGTAATTCTCAGTCTGGTGCTCTGCTATGTCACTGGCAACCACTAATGTTAATCCCTGTGACCTGAGTCATGGGCCTAATTCTTTATTATCTCTTACGATTAAAACTCGGTCTTATAAAAACATTGATTAAAAATATCCTTAATTGCCCTGACCCATGTGACTCAGTTGGTTAGGGGTCATCCTGCAGAGTGAAAGATCACCCGTTTGATTTCTGGTTAAGGGCACATGCCTGGGTTGAGAGTTCAGTCCCCTGTAGGGCACATGTAATAGGCAACCAATTGATGTTTCTGCCATTCTCTTTCTCCCTCCCTTCCCCTCTTTTTAAAATAATAGATGTTTTTAAAAAATACCCTTAACTCTTTAGGTCAGGCAAAACCTGGAACTAACTCTTACTTGTCCTTCATTATGGCTGTTTTTCTATCTCCTTTCTTCTCCTGTCTCCTTTGATCCCCAAGACCTTACCCAATATGGATCACAGTCATTTCTGAAGAGAATGTAGAGTCAAGATCTGGGGGAGGAGACCCCTGGCCAGGTACTCAATTGATTAGTACTTATTGTTCCAATACGCGAAGGTTGCAGGTTTGATCCCCAGCCAGGGCACATACAAGAGTCAACCAATGAATGCATAAATAAGTGGAACAACAAATCAGTGTTTCTCTCTCTTTCCCCCTTCTGCTCTCTCTCTATAAAATCAATAAATAAAAAATAAAAATAAATAAAAAGATCTGGGGGAGGAAAAGAGTGAAGCCATCTGGCCCACCCAGCTCACCAAATCTTGGCTTTCTTACTTCCCATTTGTCTTGCTTTCTTCTTTCAACCAAAGCCCGGGACAGAAGGCAGTTGCAGTAATTCAGGCTAATTCATAGTAGAAGCCATGACCAAATTCCATTTGTCAAGTCCTCCACTTTTTTAACCCATTTTTGTTGGACCAGTGGGCTTCTTTTTGGCTAGCTATGATGGAGTCCATGCACGACTGGTTTATTTACAAGATAATCATATTTGATTTCTCTTTTTCACTTCAGAATCCAGAGTTGAAAGTTGTCTCCCTCAATTTGAAAACCCATTATGAACTTGTCATGATTTTATCTCCCACTTCCCTGATTAGCCTCCTTGTCACTTTGATTCCTTCCAACCTTTTCACATTTCTCTCTTGTCTTTTTTTCCTAATTTGTTCTTTCTTGGATATCCATGCACGTAACTTTTTGACTGAGACAATTAGGTGAGACCCAGTCCCTGTTAATTGATTAGTTTTGCTTTGAATGGGAGCAAGATTGCTTCTTCAGCTCCACCCTCTCCTCCTTCCCTGGAAACCTGCCTTCAGTCTTCACTGCTTATTCAGAGACAGGCTTCTCTTGAAATTGTTGCCTTAAAAAAGGTCCTGAAAAGACAGCTCCACACCCTCTGTATCTAATAAACCTTAAGGGAACCTGTGTGCCAGCCTAGCGTTCCTCATTCAGTATCCACATTTTCCCCTGGCCCACGGCCATCCTGCTCCTGTGCTGGCCCTGAGATCCAGAAATGAATCAGACACAGTCTCTGCCTTCAGTGAGCTCATGGTAGTAATGAATGCCTGCCATTTGCCCAGAACTCTGTAAGACACTTTCAGATGTTATCTTTAGTCTACACCAAAGAGGAAGCTTTATTCTTATTTACAGTGGATGACACTGAGCCTGGGAGAGGTTAAATAACATGGCTAAGGTCACATATCACAGCAACTAGGTGACAGAGCTGGCATTCAAACCCTAGGCTGGGTTGCTATGGAGAAGCATAGCTGGAGGGGACAGGACAGAACACAGAAGTTCTTGACCTGAGGAATCAGCCCTTTCCTACCACAGGGAAAAGATAATCATGAAGACTCAGAAATTCCATTTCCTCCCTGCAGCCAATCTCCTCCAGATGCTAATTCCACAACCCATTCTGAATTAATCACATTAGAGCTTGCGGTGAGCATTCTGGGAAGCCGAAGCATGGGTGAGGACGTGCCACCATCTCTAAAGACCATTTATAACCTAGGTCAAGCGCTAGGTTGTAAAATGGAGAACACAGTGAGCTCTTGAAATGTATGGGATAGATCAGGACTCAGAGAGATGGGCTAGCCCTGTGAAGCTCAGTGCTCTTCTCCTGGGATTGAATTACCCTCTTACATGGTGTCTCATCACAGATTTTGTGTCTGCAGATAAGGAAAAGGGGAAAGAAAAGCTGGAGGAAGACGAGGCCTCAGCAGCCAGTACCATGGCCGTTTCAGCCTCCCTCATGCCGCCCATCTGGGACAAAACCATCCCATATGATGGCGAGTCTTTCCACCTGGAGTACATGGACCTGGACGAGTTCCTGCTGGAGAATGGCATTCCTGCCAGCCCCACCCACCTGGCCCAGAACCTACTGCTGCGTGTAGCCGAGCTGGAAGGGAAGGAGTCGGCCAGCTCTTCCACAGCGTCCCCACCGTCCTCTTCCACCGCCGTCTTTCAGCCCTCTGAAACCGTGTCCAGCACAGGTTGGTGACGGGCTTCAGGGCAGGGCCGCCTGTCCCATCTAAGGAAGCCCACTTCCCACTGAAGGCTTCCTGTGTCCACACACCCAGGGAGCCCCTTCTCTCAGGGGAGGTCCTGGTGGGCCTGCAGTGTGGAGGAACCCTGTGCCGTCCCCGTCCAGCACAGTCCCCGAGGCTGAAGGCAAAAACAGCAGTCCCGTCAGAAGTGTTGGAGCTGCTCTGTTCTGTTGGCTGGCATGCTGCCACTGGTCAGGACGGTGGAGCGAGATCTTCCAGTCTGAGGCTTTTCAGGATAGAGATCCCATTCTGCGTTTTCCCAGCGCGGCTCCTCACCCCCGCAGGCACTTTGCCGCAGATTTTTGGGAAGCTTGGGCAATGATCATAATAATGTCACCTAACATTTATTTAGCACTCACTCTGTGCCAGGTATTAACATGTAATCCTCACATGAACCTTATCAGATTGATACTCATCTGTGTGTTAGAGGCGAGGAAACAGAACTTAAGTAATTTGCCCAAGGTCGCACAGCTGGTAGGTAGTGGCGGCAGCACCTGAGCCCAGTCTGTCTGACGCCGCTGCCAGGTCCTGCCTAGGCACTGGCACAGAGAAGGCATCTTTGGGATTCCTCCTTCATCCTCTTGTCCTTTTCTTGTTTTACCTCTGGGGGGTGGGGTGGGTGGGTGGGTTGGCTGTTTGGTTTTCATGCCCTTTGGACATGAACCCTTCAGAGGAGGCATGGTCACTGGTCCAGGGGTCTCTGCAAAAAGCCTCCTGCAGGCTTAGGTAGGGGCACACAGGCTGACGGCTTCTGGAGGGACCCCTGGAACCCACACCCAAAGAATCCCCATGCTCTAGGTTTTTATTTTACTTTTCATTATGGACAAATTTTCGGATACAAAAGGTAACTACTATAGTAAACATCCGTATAACCATCACTTAGCTTACATAATTCTTAACCAGTCTTGTTTTCTGTAACCTCTGCCATTCCCTTCACCTAATTATTTTCAGTCAAATCCTAGATACTGTATTTCATCCATAAATATTTCAATATGTATGTAAAATATGAGTTCTTTTAAAAAATAACAAAAATAGAAACTTTACATCTGAATTTGACAATAAATTCATCACCATTCAAATTTCCAAAAAGTCATCTCATAAATGCTGCTGTTTTACAGTTTGTTTGAATGGAATCCAAACAAGAACCATACATTTCATTCAGTTATGTCTCTTAAATCCTTTAAATCTCTTGTAATCTATAGGGTCCATTCTCTTTTTCTTTCTTTGCAGCTTATTTGTTGAAGAAATGGAGTCATGCTATAGAGTTTAGCACATGTTGATAAACTATATTTATCCTGTAGAGCTTAGACTATATCTCTGGCGTCCCATTTACCATGCTCCTCTGCACCTCCTTTTTTTCTCTAAACAGGTTAGATCTAGAGGCTTCAGCTGATTCCAGCCAAACTCTTGTTCAAAGGCAGCTTATTTTTGTGCTGGTTGTGTTGTCCTAGAAGGCTGGTTTCGTGTGTGTGGGCAGGGGACAGAGTTGGGAATGAGCCCCCCTCTTGTACCTTAGATCACCTGGATGACATTTGCCTTTGATTGTGTTTTTAAGAACTTTCTTAATTATGGCACACAACAGTGCCCATATCGGAAGCATACAACATGATGAATGTTCACAAAGTGAACCCATCTCTGTGACTCCCACTCATATGGGAAGATGGAACATTATTGGTGTCCCCAAAGTGCCTTGTGACTCCATGCAGTCATTACTCCCCAGAGGTGACCACTATCTTGATTCCCATTATCAAAGATTTCTTTTGCTTGTAATTGAACATTCTATAAGTGGAATTGTATATTATGTCCTTTTTTTTTTAACTATTACATGTTAATTACATTTATACTTGCTTACATTTATAGATTTCTGTAGCTAGCTTTATAGTACACAAATCACATGGACGTCACAGTCTCTTTACACTAGCAACACAGATTCACAGAACATGCGTAAGGAGTACTCCTGTGACAGGAAAACCTAAATACAGATAAAGTAAGATCTACATTGAACAATTTTTTTGTATACATGGTAGAAATGGAGGTAAAATTTTCCCTCTTTTAAAAAAATATTTAATCTATTTTTAGAGGGAGGGGAAGAGAGGGAGAGAAACATCAATGTGTGATTGTCTCTTGCATGTCCCCTACTGAGGACCTGGCCCGCAACCCAGGCTTGTGCCCTGACTGGGAATCCAACTGGCGACCCTTTGGTTTGCAGGCTGGCACTCAATCCACTGAGCCACACCAGCCAGGGCAAATTTTCTCTCTTAACTTCTCAGTTTCTTCTGTAGGAAAGATATAAATAGTATGCATTCTTTCTCTTGTGTATAGCTTCTTTCCTTAATTTCGTTTATGAGAATCATCCACATTGTTGCCTGTAGCATAGTTTGTTCATTTTCATCACTGAATAGTATTTTATTGTATGACCATAGCACATTTCCATTCTACAGTTGATGGACATCTGAGGTGTTTCTGGTTTGGGATTATGCACAGCAATGCCATGAACATTTGTGCACATGTCAGTTGGTAAATATATGTTTACATTCTGGTTGGCTATTTACCTAGGAGTAGAATGGCTGGGTCATTGGCTTTTTAATTGTCATCTGAGGATATTTTCACTGATTTGTGTGTGTGTGTGTTTGTGTGTGCGCATGTGTATATGTGTGAGAGAGAGAGAGAAACATCGATTGGTTACCTCCTGCACGTTTCTCAACTGAGAATTGAGCCCACAGCCCAGGTATGTGCCCTGACTGGGAATCAAACCTGCAGCCTTTCTGGTGTATGGCATGACACTCCAACCAACTGAGCCACCCAGCCAGAGCTAGACATTCAGCTTTTATAGACACTACCAGTGTGCAACGTGGTTGTAGTTGTCAATACTCCCACCAGTGGGGTATGGGAGTGCTAGTCATCAGCCTTTGGTACCTTGGCTGTTTGCTCTGTAGGTGTAGTTTGGCAGCCCCAGTATTGCTACAGTGATCACATTGGTCCCTGGTTATTCTTTCTTCTGACCCTCAATCCTCTTTGTAATTGATCCCCTTTAATGGGCTACAATGAGTTTATGTGCATTATCCAGTTAAAACTTAACTCTGATTATGTTATACCTCTGCTCAGAACCCTTCAATGGTTTCTCTCATGTCAGGGCAAAAGTCAAAATCAGTGATACTGTTGACATTTGGATTAGATAATTTTGTTGTTGGGGTTGGAGGAGGGACTATATTATACATTATAGGATATTTAGCAGCATCCTTGGTTTCTACCCACTAGATGCCAGTAGTGCTCCCTTCCCCACCACAATTCTTTTTTTAGTCTTTATTTATTGACTTTAGAAAGAGAGAAGAAGGTGGGGGGGGGGGGGGAGAAAGAGAGGAGGAAGAAACATCAGTTTGTTGTTCCACTTAGTTGTACATTCATTGGTTGATTCTTGTATGTGTCCTGATTGAGCATCGAACCTACAACCTTCTTGTATTGGGACAATGCTCTAACCAACTGAGCTACCCGAACAGGACCTCTCCCACTCTGCATAATTCTTATATGGCCAAATGTCCCCTGCAGGACAAAATTGTCCCCTGTTCTTTACCTGTTTTGTCACTCTTCCCTCTTGTTCATTTACTCCAGCTACATTGGCCTCATTGGCTGATCCTTGAACATACCAGTGCTTGGCTGTGCACAACGCAGTGCACTCGGTGGTCACTCTTTCTGAAATGTTTTCTTGTGAATATGCACATGCCATCTAATGCTTGTATAGAAATTTACAGTTTAGCTTGTATAACATCAGCCTTCCCTGCTAGAATAACATTCCATGAAGGCAAGATTTTTACTTGTTTTGTTCACTGCTTTGTCTTTACCAGGACGGTAGCTGGCATATAGTAGGTGTTCAGTAAATAGCTGTTGACTGAGTGATTACATATTTTGTGTACTCCTATCAGTAGTGTTGAAGTAGTGTTGAGTAGGCCAAAGGTATAGGTTTTTAAAGTAACTTACCTCTAACAGCCTTTGAATTCTGAAAGTTCCTTTCATCCAATGTCCACTATAAAATGGCAGCCAAGTAGGGCGGAGAAGAAGAAGCATTCAGAGTCAGCCAGACCCAGATTTAAATTTTAGTTCAGTCAGTTACCTTCTCTGTGACCCTGGGAAAACCGTGTCCTTTCTCTGAGCCTTAGTTTCCTCATCTGCAAAATAAAGTTAACACCCAACCTTGCTTTCAGAGTTGTTATAAGACTAAATGAACACTGTGACTGATATGTCTCCAAGGACTCAAAAGTGAAAGCCATTTCATTATTCAGACTGTGTCCCTAACCCAGTATGGTTCAGGGAGAGATTCAGCTGTTTCTCATTACTTGAGAGCTTGAAATCACAGGAAGTTAGGGAGGATAATGATTTAGTGTTTTGCCTAATATTTCTGGGGCGGGGGGGTGGGGATCAGAAAATCCTCTGTTTCCTTTTCAGCATTTTATTCCTAAAGGGAAGGATTCTTTCCATGTTTGTGTTGTTGATTTGAATCACATATGCCTGTCTGGCTTGGGGGCTGGTGCTGTGTGGTTTTTTCCTCTCCAGGTGGCAGTGGCTGTGCAACACTGAGATTCAAGGAGGTATCTTTGGCATGAGTCTTGGATTCGAGGTGTCTATCAGGACAAATGAGATTGTCAAAGAATCTGTCTTTGGATTCAAGGAGTGTGTGGCATGAGTCTTTGCTGTTCAGTGAGCTGCTTTGGGACCACCTGCCTCTGTGTCTTTCAGAATCCTCCCTTGAAAAGGAGAGGGAAACACCCAGTCCCATCGACCCCAACTGTGTGGAGGTGGATGTGAATTTCAATCCTGACCCTGCAGACCTGGTCCTCTCCAGTGTACCAGGCGGGGAGCTCTTCAATCCTCGGAAGCACAAGTTTGCAGAGGAGGACCTGAAGCCCCAGCCCATGATCAAAAAGGCCAAGAAGGTCTTTGTCCCCGATGAACAGAAGGTAATCTGGTGTCTCTGTAAGGGAAGGTGCAGCACGGGTTCAAGAGCCAGGGGTGGGGGGAGGGCTGTGCTTCCTCACATTTGATTTTATCTGGGGGATCCTCCCTCCTTATAGGCATGAGTTCAGAGCATAGACCCATATCCTGCACCAGGTGGTAGAAAGGGAATCGGGTGGTGTTGGCCCCAGTGTGACTCCCTGTAGTGTCTGTTTCCTTATTGGCCAGTGGCCGTGTTGATGTTCTGGCTTCTCTGGCTTTATCCCAGCCTTTGGGCAAGAGCTCACTAGGTCACAGGAACTGAGCTGAACAAGCCCAAGCCCTTGCTTTGAAGGACAAAAGATAGTTTTATGTTGCAAACAGCTCTCAAGCTGATAGTCTTGTAGGAGTTGGGATGGGGAGGGAGAAGAGGATTTCGCAGTTTTTCCATCCTCGCCTATGGAAAACTCGCAGGGAGGACTTTTCATCCAACCTTGGGAGTTAGGCAGAGCTCCGTCCAGGCCCCATTTTGCCGTCTAGAACTAGCTGGGCCTCAGATTCCTCGTTTGTAAAATGGGAATAACCATAAGTGCCTTTCAGGAGGTTTCTGAGGCTTTCATAATGCGATGAAAATGGTAAACTTCTGTGTGATCCTTACTATAATATAATATAATATATTATATTAATATAATACATTTACTTCTCAAATAGCTCTAAGAGGTAGTTACTGCTGTCCCCCATTGGAAAGATGAGGGACCTGAGACATTGGGAAGTTAAGGAAGTCGCATGGTTCCTCTGCTAATAAGGGGCCGAGGCAAAATTTGAACTCGGGGGACTGGACCCTATTAGCCATAATCAATGTGACAGTGCTTTATGTTGGAGCATCGCAAAGCGGGCTCCCAGTAAGTGGAGTCCCCGTCACTCCAACACTTCCTTCCAAAGGGCTTTGTTTCTCATCCTGGGGAAAGAGCAGGGCTGCTGCTGTCCTTGGCACCTGCACCTCCTTCCCTGGGTCCCGGCTTTCATTCCGGCTGCACCAGCTGAGTGATAAGAGGACTCTGGGGCGTGGAGTGCTGGCAGGAGGAGAAAGGTTGGGTTTCCTTGTGGGGCAAGAGGAGAGACCAACAGAGGACACTTCCCCAACAGGATGAAAAGTACTGGACAAGACGCAAAAAGAACAACGTGGCAGCCAAACGGTCCCGGGACGCCCGGCGCCTGAAGGAAAACCAGATCACCATCCGGGCCGCCTTCCTGGAGAAGGAGAACATGGCCCTGCGGACGGAGGTGGCTGAGCTACGCAAGGAGGTGGGCAAGTGCAAGACCATCGTGTCCAAGTACGAGACCAAGTACGGGCCCTTGTAACCTGTGCCCCCGCCCTGGCCACGCTGCCTGCATCTCAGCCCTCTGCCTGGGGGCTCCCTGAAACCCCACACACGTGGAGACTTATGACTCGTCACGGGCGAATGGTGACGCACCTGCTCCAGGAGCTGTCATGTTCAAGCTTCATTATCCCAAGGCCAGCGCATGGGGCGACTTCCCTGGGGAGCCAGCCTACTCACTGGCAGGGACGCGAGAGAATCGAGGTAGACGGGTGCATCAGCCTTAGTGTCTGTTCTTGGATGTCCCAGTTGAACTGGAAGGGGACCCCTGGAGGACAGACCTCCTTTCACAGGGCGCTCAAGACGCCCCGACTCTCCCTCAGCCTCCACCCGGGCTGCGGAGGCCTGTCTCCGCAGAATGAGTCCATCGTTGTCGCCCTTATGTCTTCTCAGGTAGCAGGGCGTGTTTCTAGGTGTGCTTTGTCTGTGGGCCACCTCACCCTCCCCAGAAAGCCCAAGAGAAACATCCGTTCCCATCTCCCTTAGAGGTCGGAAGACACACCAGCTCCTCTGTCGTGTCTGCATGGATCCCAGGCCACCTAAGTGGCTCTGCTAGCCTGGGTTGCGGTTGGGATCTGGGGACTGCAGCAAAAGTGCACCCAACCATTCTTAGCTCCCACACCCCTTTACTCTTGCGACTCTAAGGCCTGGAAGCCAGGGAGGGGGCGCTGGCAGTCGGCGCTCTCTGCGTCTTGTCTGTTGCGAAGGGGAGATCCCCAGGCCGGCCGGCCTCTGAGCCCTGATCACAGTGCAGAGAGCCACCCTGACATCTCTTCTCCAGGTCGCTTGCAGAGGCCACCTGAATCTCATTTGTCCCGATAGACTGTTTCTTTTCACCTAGTGACCAATCTCGGACCTTGGATGTAAAAGGAAAACCCCTTGTCTCGGAAGCTCACCTTCCTGGAGGCAGGAGGCACCTCCTGCGCACTGCCCAGAAAACCAGCCTCCGCGCGGGCCAGGAGCTGGGGCATGTGTCTCCGCATCATCTTGCTCTGCCCTCCAGTGCGGGCCAGGCCAGAGGAAGCAGAAGAGGGCTTCCAAGTTCTTGCTCCAGGAACCCTCCCATGTGCAAGCTGCCAAGAGGGGACCTGCCGGGCAGGACGCCTGGCCAGGAGTCACCAGGGTCGCAGCACAGCTTGTGGAATAGCAGGTTCTCTGGACATACACATGCTAGAGTCCCCTCAGTCTGGGTCCCTAGGGGACTTGGGCCACCCACACAAACCTGGCCGAGGTTTGTGGAGGGGTCCTTGTAGCTGTGGCTGCACTGCCTCACAGCTGCTTCCTCTCGTGTCCAGCTGGACTTGTCTTTCTTGCTGTGCCCAGGCGATTCATTGAGGAAATCCGTGGAGCCCTCTGCCCATTGTGGTCAGCTGGGGCATCTGCGGATGGGTGTATTTATTGGCTCAGGGCCAGGCAGCCTGTGGTTAAGAGGGGTCGGGGTGACGGGCACACTTTGTCATGCGTACCACTGGCTTTATTTAAAGTGGTATCTCCAAGACCTGGACTCTGACCCCTAAAGACTTTTTATAACATAATAAGACCTGGGGAAGCCATCCACTGACTGGACCGCACCCCAGAGGAATGCCACGGCCCTCCGGGGACTTGCACACCCGCCTCTCCAGGGGACTTGACAAGGGTGCCTCAGGCCAAGGGAGGTCACCACCTCCCTCCAGGCCCCTGACTTTTACTTTGTGGTTCTAGAAAACCCATGTTCACTTTTCACTCTATTGTAACCACAACAGGGCAGTTGCATCCGGCATGTCAGTGTCCTGCCCCGGGCAGCCCGCCCGCCCGAGCACTCTCCCTCTGGTCTGGCTGCCCACCAAGAGGGCAGTTCTCATTTTGTTATTGGTAGAAGAGCCTCCAGCTTAAAAGCTCTTCATTTTCTTTGGCCAGAAAGTATATGGCTCGTGGGGTTTTTTAATTTTTTTTTTAATGTTTTGATTGTTTTAAAAGGATGGAGACTAAATTTCTGGATGGTGTCCATGTTCTGACCCCAGTGGGTGGGATGATGGCCTGAAGTCTCCTCTTTTTGTCCCACCTTCTGCCTGTGCAGTGCCCTCCCGTCCTTCCCTTCAGGCAGTGGGTGTCTGGTTCCTTCCCAAAGTGCTTACTTGGAAAGTGTGGCTTCTGGCCTCTTCTGGAAAAGCCCCTGTGAGTTGGGAGCCCAGCAGGGACAGGAAGGAGATGTCTGCGGGGGCTGACGTGTTGGGGGAAAGGGGTGCTCAGGGAAGTGTGTCTCCTTCCCGTGCCCAAGAGGCGAGTCCTTGCAGGAGGGGGTTGGTGCCTGCGATTTCCATCAAGGAGACTCCCTCCTGGCCCCTCTCCACCTTGGGGCTGACAGCCAAAGACTGAGACTCCTCTGCTCATGTCTTTGACATCTCCTATAAAGCACTGGAGGCCAGAGAAGCCGCTGTAAATGGCTTTACACGGGTTTGTGATGGGCTGGGAAGCGCCATCCCTTCCTAAATGCCCTGTCTGCAGTTTCATGGCAGCCTTGCTACAACCTCAGAACAAATGAATGAGCTAGAATGTTGCAAGAATATACATAAAATAAATGTATATTTAGATTAAATAGGTATTTGGAGAGAGAGCTTTCACAATGGCCAGCAGCCTTGTGGAGGGCCTGGGTGACTCGTACCCTTCACCAAAGGGGTCTGCCTGTCGCTCTGAGGTTGGAGAAGGCACTTAGCAGCATCACCCTGCTGTGGCCCTGAGTGGGCAGCTCCTGCCGTCCCCCAGCCTGAGGCGGGGCGCAGGTGTGGGAGCCAGCAGAGGAGGGCCCCTTTGTGCCGGGCAGCTCACCACCCAAGGCCCTGGGAACTCTGCTCACACACACAAAGGGCCAAGAGCCCTGGTTTTCATGGTAAAGCCCCACCCCAGAGCTCCTTTAACATCTGTTAATTAAGTGCAATAAATTTTTCTAGAAAATGGTAAAGATGACTTCCAGGTGGATATTGCTATCTTAGGGTGTTGGGTATGCCAGAACACCACTTGGTTTTATTTTTCTAAGTGCATGTGATGTGATAGAGTGTGTGGGGCTCCCTGTCTTCCCCTGGGAGCTGGCATTCCAGCGAGCCCCTCTTTCTTACCTTTGTGGGGGAAGGAGGCACGGAGAAAATTCCTTCTTCCCAGCTGGCGAGGGCAGAAGCAGACTGTAGCCCATTGGCCTTATGTGCGTGTGTGCGTGCGAGTGTGTCACTGCTGGTGGGCCGGAGTGATGCAGTGGGGAGGGAAGCTGGGAATGTAACCTTTTCAAAACAAAATTAAATATTTTGAGATGAGAGTTAATGGGGCTGTCTTTTGTGTCCTCCCTCCCCCTGCCCTATCCCGTGTTTTCTGTGCATGCATGTTGGCCTAGGAGCCTGAGGGTCATCTCTGGCACCCCCGCATCACCCGCCAGGCACCCTTGGCCAAGTCACCTGCCCACTCTGTGCCTCAGTTTCCTCATCTGTCAGCTGGAAGTTATTCTTGCCTGCTTACCTCACAGTTTACTAAGGGAAGACACCATCAGACCAAAGGCAGTTTGAACAAATAAAAGGGATGTACGTCTGGTAGAAAGACAGGGAAATGCTCTTGAAAAGTGTTCCCAAACAGGGGACCTGTGATGGCAGCTACATTAAAAAAAAAAAAAAGAGAGACTGGAAGGTTTGGGTGGGATTCTAGGGGTTTTCCTTTTCTCCTTTTGCCAGATTTCTGTCTGGCCATGAGAGCTTCACGATTGAAAAAACAAGTTTATACGTGGGTGTAGCTACTCGCGGGGCACCTGCGCTGTCATTCCTGAATCTCAGCATTGGCGTCCCCAAGGCCCCTGCTCAGGGCTGGCCCTGGCCCCCATGGGCTCTCACCCAGGCACCCAGGGGTGGGATGGAGTAGGGTGCGTCACCCTTGGCAGTGCTCCTGCAAGTCTCCTTCCCCCTCCTCCAGTGCCACCCAGTCCACCCTTCTCCTGCTCTGCCGCCTTAGTGGAGCCAAGGTGCCTGCTTCTTCAGCGAGGCCTGGAAGAGCTGCCTTTCTACAACCAAGACTTCCCTGTCCTGCCCCCTACGCTGCACGGTGGCAGCGCTCAGCTCCCTGTTGCTTGAGGGGCCAGGAACCATTTGTAATTTTGTTACTAAGGAGAAGGGCATACACTTGGAGTTTGGGGACCAGCTGGCAAGGTGGACTTTTTTACATGGCCATTTTACAAATAAACATTGAGGCTCTGAAAAGCAAAGTGATGTGCCTCCAATCACAGCAGCAGAGCTAAAATGCACACTCAGAGTGGGTTTCAAATGTTCAAACCGCAATTCCCAGAACAGTGGCAGCAGGCAGACCATTCCCAGGCTGGGAGCAGGGCAGTGTCTCATGTTCTACCTCCTTGGAGCTTCAAAGCCTCCAGCTCAGCCTCCCCCTCATTTTAGCCCTGGTATCTTGAGCACCTACTACATCCTTATGTGTAAAACAGGACACTGGCCTCACAGGTGCTTAGCACAGGGCAGCTGCCCCCGCGGCGATGAGGTAGGAGGTACTGACCTCCATGGAAATGAGCCCTCCTGGCTCGGCAGCTCTGGGTCCACTGGAGGGTGCGGCTGCAGCCAGGGTCAGACTAGCTGTGCGGCCTTGGGCCAGTTACTCCACCTCCCCGAGCTGCTGCTCTCTGCAGCGTGAACATGCTACTCAGAGGTGAGTACCTGACATGATTCAGCTCTCTTCCCCACCTCCCAGCTCCCCGAAGGACAAAATTTCCAAAGCTCAACAAAGGCCCCCTTCCTTGAATGTTCCCATCGACCAGACAGCCTCAACCACCTCCCGCGGCGGTGCCAGGCCGCCCAGCTGGCAGCTCCTGACGTCAGTAGCTAATCTGGGAAGGCTGCCAGCCAAAGATACGGGTGAGCAGCAAAGGAAATCAGGTTTCGGGGTGCACACCCTCAGCCAACCCATCCTGTGCTCTCATCAGCTTCTCACTTCATCGAACCCTCCCAATCACACAGACTGACACCCGGACCTGGGGGAGTGGATTACTGTGAGCCGTTTCTCTGCCAGCAGGAGCTGGGCTGAGCAGGGCCCCATGCTCAGCCTCCCCACCTCTGGGGCTGCCTGTGTCTCCAGGCTCGGCAGGGGCATCCTCTTGCGCGCGGATTCCAGGCTGGCTCCAAGTCCAGACTGGGCCTGCAGGGAAAGCAGAGGAAGAAAGGAGTCAGCCGGCCCTCTCAGCCTGAGCTGGGCGCAGCGCTCCCCACTGCCCTTCTGTTGCCCCGGCCCCACAGCACTCGGGGATGGGCACTCCCCTCTTACAAAAGAAATGAAGGCTCACTAAGGTCTTAGGTGACTTACCCAAGGTCTCACAGCTGCTAAGTGGCACAGCTGAAGTTCAAACCCAGGCCTGGTGGCTCCTAAGCCCAGTTCCTTCTGCCATCTCAGTGATCTCCTGACCAAGGTGCTGGTGCTGCCTAGACCTGTTCCGCTGGAAGGACACCTCGCCTTCCACACTCCTTGGGCCAGCAGAGGTCAGCCAGCCAAAGCAGACAGACATTGCCTGGTCTCATATCTTCCACGGCTTCCCAAGGTACTCTGGCCAGATGCAACGAGGCCCAGGCCCAGCGGTTAGTGGTGGGCAGGAAAAGACTGACACTTTTCCCACGTGCTGGGCCAGGACCTCCATGGTGACCACAACTGACAAATGTGGAAACAGAGGTTCAGAGGGGCAGTGTCTTCCCCAAGGCCACACTGCTTCTCCCCTCCACCCTCCTTTCAACCTCTTCCTTGTCCTCACCCGCCCCAGGACCCATCCCTCCCTCCCTCCCTCCCTCATGGCATCTTCTCTCTTCTTGGGTGCCAGAGTCAGAGGCTTTGGACAACAAGGACCTTAGAAGTTATCACATCCATGTCCTCCCTGAATGGATGGGAAAGAGACTCACAGAGGAAAAGGAGCTACCCAAGGTCACACAGCAAAATAAGACTTGGGCTAAGGAGCCAGTACCCCCACACTTCCCGTCTCCCCGGACTCACACTGAAGCTGGCTGGCCCTCCACTCAGGGACAGCACCGGCGGCTCCTGCTCCCCCTGAACTGTGAGCTGTTCACAGAAACCTGGGCTCACATGGAAGCAGAAGTCAGGCCTCATCCCAGGCCTCATCTCCAACTTGCTGTGTGACTTTCTGCGAGCCACATCCCTCTCTGAGCCCTTATTATTCATCAGTGCCATGGAGATCAGGATCCCTGTCCTGCCCAAGCATCAGGGTTGCTGTGAAGTTCATAGGAGATCCTGAACAGAAGCAGCCCCTTGTAAGCTGCAAGGGATGAGACACGGGACAATGTCCCAGCCCAGCACCTCTGGGATCCGAAGTCCGATGAAAGGTGCCTTGCCCCGCCTTCCCCGCAGATCTGCCAATGCCCACAACTCTACTATTAGAAAAGCTGGCTGGAGGGTAAAGTGAGGTACGGAGAGGCAGGAAACGGCCAGATGTCAGCAGGGGAAGGCCACTCGGGGCCGAAGGTCATGACCGTTCTCCTGGGTCTAGGTCCGGGACTGCTTTGACTCCTGACTGGGGCAGGGCTGGGCCATGCCCCTGACTCCAGAACTCCAGGTGAGAAGTGCTGACTGAGCTCAGATCGCCCAGAAATCTAACCCCAGAACCTCGCTGAGGCCCCTAGTGTGAGTCTCAGGGATGTGACCAGAGCAAGGGAGGTAGGTGCCCAAAGCTGGGCAGTCCTGAGCCAGGAGCTGGTGCCCAGCCCACCAAGGACTCACTGTGCTCCTCCTTGCTCCGGGCCTCAGTTTCCCCATTTGTCCTCCTCACAGCAGCCTTTAAACCATCCATTGTGTCCTGTGGCCCCCATCCTACTCAGAAACAAATTCAAACTCCTCATTGAGGCCTAAAAGGCCCTGTGAGGCCGGGCCGCTGGCCCCGTCCTCTTCTGCCCCTTCTCCACCCCAGCACCCAGCCGGGTCCAGCCACGCTGACCACTTGGATCACTCCCCACTCCCTCCACCCCCTTCTTAGAGCCGTCACACTCGCTGCTCTGTCTGTTCAGACCGATGCCCCCTAGGTCTTCTCAGCCTAGTCCCATTCTCAGTGCCCAGCCCGCCCCGTGCTTGGCATGTAGTGACCGTCCACTAAATACCTGGTGAACTCACAGGGCTGGATGACAGATCAGGGCCGGGTGTGACAGCAGTGCCATACCACCACCAGGTGGTGCTGCAGACACCTCCATGGGCGGTGACCTGGGATGGAGCCTCCAGATTTGTCCTCTCAGCAAAGCCTCCGGGGCAGTGCCAGGCTGTGCTGTGGGTGCCAGCTGACTCACCCCCACCCGGCCTGTTCCCCGGTGGCTACTGGAAGACATGGGTCCGGGGTATCCACAGGAGCCGGAGTAGAAGGGAGGGCTGGCTGCCTCCATGGCCTGCGCTTCTAGGCTCTTTCTGGGGAGGGAGTGGGTGTACAGGCCTGAGGGGGTGAGGGAGGGGGACCTGCCATGAGAGGCTCCGGGAGGCTTCCGGCTTGGAGTCTGTGCGCTGAGCCTGGGTTGGCCTCCCACCTCCTCCAGGCCTCCTCATGCCTTCGAGGAGCCTGGTCCTGGCTTTGAGTCTCTGTTTTCTCACCTGTCAGCAGAGGACAAAAAGGTGAACAAGAACTGAAACCCCGTGTGGCTGCTCTGTTAGAATGAGGCTGAGGGGCTTTGGAGGGGGATCCCCAGTGGCATGGGTGGCGTGTGCAGGTGAGCAGTGTGTGGGTTTGGGGAAAAGGCAGATGGAGGAGAAATCAGCAGCCCCCAGGGCCTCAGACTCCCGCTCCATCAAACTGGCTTCCCTAGGCCTGCCCTGAGGGCCTGAGGCCTGTGGCCTGAAGTGTATGTCTGAGTGTCCCTGGGTATATGTGTGTGCATATCTGTGTTTCAATGAATGTGTGTCTGTCTGTGCCCACATCTGGGAGTCCGTGGGTAAGGATGAGCTGCCTCTCACCTTGGCAGAGGGGGACCAGGGATTCCAGGGACGGGGGGCCCATAGGGTGCCTGCTTCTGTTTTCAGCTGCCTGGCACTTGGTGGCTGGATCTGGATCATCTCCATCTCTCCCCAAGAGTACACTGTGCTTCCTGATGTACATCTGTTTGTTCTCAGAAGCATCCCCCCCCCCCCCACCCCGGTCCCTGTCCCAGGCTCTCTCTCATTCTCACTCCTGCCAGCCCAGTCTTGGAGGCTGCGGACTTCCCAAGGGGCAGGGGGCCCGGCATGAAGTTGGAGGGGCCCAGTCCCCAGCATCCCCGCTTCCGTCAAAAGTCAGCCTGGCTCTTACTGTTCTCAAGAGATATAATTATTCAACACTTACTGTATGCCAGAGCTTTATACACCTGTTCATTATGTCTTCACAAGAGCCCTTCAAGGTAACTTCACACTCTTTTTACAGAGGAGAAAACAGGTTCGGAGAGACGAAGTGACTTGGCCGAGATCACACGGTAAGTGGGGTTGGAACAGGCTCTGGCGAGGGGCCTGAGCTCCCTCTTTCCTGATTCCTACCCTCCTGGTAACAAGCCATCTGTCCAGCCACCTGGC